AATGAAAATAAAATTTACTTAAAATCGCGTGTGAATAATTTATTATAAATGTTATGTATATAACATTTGATGTATATAACATTAATCGAACTTTCAAAATGTTTAATTTTATATTTTAGAAAGTTGGAAAAGATTTAAAAAAAAATATGTGCTAGCGATAAGATTTAAACCCTCGCGTTGAACTTCGGTAGCGCAGTGAGCTAAGGGGTCGTCTATAAACTACGTCACGCTCTAGGAAGGAGGGGGAGGGGTAGTGGTTTTGTAATAACTCAAACGTGACTTGTTACTAAAGTGTTACGATGTTGTGACTAAGAGGAGCGGGGGGGGGGGGGAAGGAAGAGGTAAAAAACAGTCGAAAATTCAGTAACGTTATTTATGAACGACCCCTAACCACCTCAACCACTAAGGCACACTAATCTGCCGAAATTAAAAACTATTTAATAACTAAATAACTTTATCAATCAAAATTAAGGATGTATTGCCGCAATGCAATTTTTAAATAAAACTTTATAAAAGTAAAAATATTTATAGAATTTCAAAAATGTTTTATTTTGTATTAAATTAGAAAAAAAAAAAAACTTAAAAAAAATGTGGTAATGCAAGGATTTGAACCGCGTCATTTCACTAAAGAACGCTACTAACTACCCACTTCGGACACTAAAACGTATTGTTTGTAGAATATTTAAAAAATATTTAAAAAACAAAAGACTTTATAAAACGGCAGATTGCTATATATTAAAATGAAGGAGATAAATGCTATAAATTAAAATGGAGATGTTGCCGCAATTTTAAAGTAAAAGTAAAACTGTTAAACCTGATGTTTTAACATTACATAATTTGAAGTTATCTAACTAAGATTTTAAAAGATATTCACATACATTTTCGTTCGTATTTTTTTAATCCAAAGTTCTGCGACTCTTTCTCACCATTAACTCGTGTATAATGACTGCTGTAAGTTCTGTGCAAACACACACGGATGAGTAATAGCAGCGGCAGCAGCAGCAGGTGTAGTATAGCATTGAATATAGCAAATAAATGTTTTTTTTTTAAATATTTTATCTATAGCAAAAAGTTAACCTTTTTTTATAAAAATTTGCTTCTTTTTGGTTTTCTAAAATAACATTTTTAAGTAGAGATATGAGTTCCACTCAAATAAAAAAAGTATATATAAATAAAAAACTCAAACAAAAATAATCAAATTTTAACCTGCGTGTTAAAGTTTTGAAATAGCTGCAGCAGTCAGAGAAAAACGTATCATTGAGCGTACTGCCTCTAAGACTTATAAGGTTCCTAAATGCTTTTCGCAAAATTTTCTCAATAGAAAAACTCAGATGGGTGCACGCCCAGGACGTTTTACAAAACTTAGAATTGAAGATGAACTAGGGTTAGTTCAGTATGCATCGAAACAAGCTTCTATAGGTATTGGTTTTGGAATACGCCAGTTTATGAAATATGCTGGTGATATGGTGATAAAGGGGGGAATCTATTCAAGAATGGTCTGCCATCAAAAAAATGGTGGTCTTTATTGAAAAAAAGGCATCTCCCAGTGGGCATCGAAACAAAAAAAGACGTCTTTTGATCGTTCAAAAGACGTCCAAAACGTTCAAAAAACATCTAAAACATTCAAAAGACATCTAAACCGTGGATAAGACGTTTCAAAATTGTCTTTTTTACGTCCGTGTCCACTGGGCCAACTCTTTGACTAAGAGTTATCTACCAAAACCTAGTGATCTTCTACGAGTCTCCGCATTCTTTATACTAACAAAAATGAAAAACTCTTAGTGTTTATATAATATATTAAGATTTATTTGTAATACAAATTTATACTGAAAATGAAAGATAAAGAAAAAACAAAAAAAAAGCAGTAGCGACTTTTAAATAAATTTTAAGTCGAACATTTCGCCTCAAAATAAACAATTTTTTCAAACAAAAATTGGATTCGTATACGCGAGTTCTGGTACAAGGTGAACTAATTTTGGATGTAGTGGATTTTGTATCTAATTTTATATCTTGCTGTCTTTTAAATGCAGCAATAGTATTCTTCCGATCATACATTTTTACGGGTATTCAAGTAACTTGTCATTTCTATCAACACTAGAATATAAAAAAAGTCTTCATTACACGATCAATAACAACTGCTTCACTTGGTGCTAAAATGTTACTACAAATAAAACATAGTAATGTGACATTTTTAAAAAAGTATTAAACACCACAAATTGTAATAAGTAGGGCTGTTAATGGCGGGTTTTGGGCCTATAATAACAAAACCCAGACTTGGTTCAAACGGGACGGGTCTGGATCTAAATTAACTTAATATTAATAAGAAACGTTGTTCAATAACCACACGTATCCGCTGCAAACATTCATAAAAAGTCATAAGAAATATTGTCTAAGATAAGCTACATTTAATATATTGTGATAAAATACTTCTAGCGTTAATAAATTAGCTTAAAGAAGGAAACTTATTTAAAAAAATTTATCAACTGTTTTTATTAGCAGGGGTCATAAAATGGGCTATGAAAAAAAATTACACACAGAAAATAATAATAATATTAATGCACTAGACTAAATTAATAGTCTTAAGTTTCTTTTTTATTATATCAGAATTATAAAAACTTAATGTTAACTAAGTTTTTACGGTTAAAGAATAAGTAAACCCCCTTAAACTTAATGTGTATAAAAGATCAGAGAAAAGCCGCAGACACATATTTTATGGTATGCAGTAAAATGCATTAGTAGAAAAAAAAAAAAAAAAAAAAATTTAACCTTTAGCCTTGAATAACTTTTTTTGCTAATATTTTATTTGTGGCAATGTCCCCAACATCTGCACCAATTTTTAGCTCTATGCGAATGCTATTGTAAATCTACCACTATTTTGTCAACTTTCTTGACCGGACTTAAACTTAAAGTAAGTTTTAGATACTTAAAACCAGAAGTTACATAAAAAACTAATAAGAAAATGTTTTATTTGTAAACATTTTAACTGACTTAGTCTCTCCTTAGTCTTACTTAGTCTTACCTTAGACTTAGTCTATTATGTTGTTTTATAAATGATTATGAAAAAGCAGGACTGTTTTACATGGAGAAAAAAAAACAACAATTTATACAAAAAATATTTTTATTGATATATATATATATATATATATATATATATATATATATATATATATATATATATATATATATATATATATATATATATATATATATATATATATATATATATATATATATATATGTATATATATATACAGTCACGGATAAAATTAAGTAACATTGTATATGTTATGTAAATAAATACATTTATAACTTTTTATAATTCCTTGCAAAAGTTAATCTATTAAACAAAATTAGCTATCTCACAAATTTTTTTTCAAAAATAAATGTGACAAAAGTAAGAAACATTTGAGTTTTTATTATGAAATATAATGTTTTGTCAATAGCTATTTATTAAAAATGATTATTATTAAAGAGGTTTTGTTAAATTTATTAAAAATAAGCATTTTAGACTTTATTTTTTCGGAATTTATTTTTAGAAAAAGTAAAACTAACAATAATAATGGTTCATCATCAAAGTTATTCATTGGACATCCGATCTCGGGTCATTTGTGATCGAAAAAAGGGCCTAACCTACAAGCAATGTGCAGAAAAATATCAAATATCGATAAGTGGTGTTAGAAAGATGATTATAAAATTTGAAACAACTGGTTCTGTTGAAAATCAGAAAAGATTTGGTCGCCCCCCTAAGACTTCAACAAGAACTGATATGCTAATTGCGCGAATAGCAAAACAAAATTCAACAATAACCTCAAGACAGATTGTTGAAAATCTTAAATTAAATGTTTCCAGTCGAACTGTACAGAGAAGACTTAATTCAAGTGGTTTAATAAACCGTCTTCAAAAAAGTAAACCCCTCATTAGTGGTATAAACAACAAAAAACGCTTAGCATTTGCAAAACTGCATATTAACAAGGATGAGGCATTTTGGAACTCAGTGTTATGGTCTGATGAGAGTAAATTTCAAATATTTGGCTTTTAAAAACGACAAAGAGTTTGGCGCAGACCTTGTGATGCACTCTTAGATAGAAATCTTAGAAAAACTGTCAAGCATGGAGCTGGCTCAATTATGGTTTGGGGATGCTTTGCTTCAAATGGTGTGGGAAGACTGGTGAATGTTGAAGGTATAATGACAGGACAATTGTATGTTGATTTGCTTTCCAAACATTTATGTCAATCCGCTAAAAAATTGAATTTAGATCGCAAGTTCTTTTTTCAACAAGACAATGACCCCAAACACACCAGCAAAGTGGCACAGCATTTCCTCAAAAAAAGTAAAGTTAACATCCTTAAATGGCCACCACAAAGCCCGGACCTTAACCCCATTGAAAATTTATGGGCAATTTTAAAATCTAAAATACCTCCTTCAAAACGAACAAATAAAAAAGAATTTTTTGAGGTTCTGAGTGAAACTTGGAATTCAATTGGTACTGACGTCACGTCAAAGCTTGTAAAAAGCATGCCAAGACGTTTAGAAGCAGTCGTGAAAGCAAAAGGTGGTGCAACAAAGTACTAAAATGAAAATCAGACATGATATTCTTGTATTTTTAATATATATTACTGACAAAACATTATATTTCATAATAAAAACTCATAATAAAAAAAGATGTTTCTTACTTATGTCGCATTTATTTTGGACAAAAAAGTTGTAAGATAGCTAATTTCGTTTAATAGAGTTACTTTTGCAATGAGTTATAAAGAGTTAAAAATAGATTTTTTTTTCTTTAGAATCAAATTTTTAAAAAAACATAAAGTTATTGCAGTTGCGTAGATCCTGACTTAAATAATTTTGTTTTTATTGTTCGAGTTTCGATTTTATCAATGTTACTTAAATTTGTCCGTGACTATATATATATATATATATATATGTATATATATATATATATATATATATATATATATATATATATATATATATATATATATATATATAAATATTCTGCTTCCTCTTGTTTCTAATGAATAAAAAATGAGACACCTAAAAAACATACCTAATTATTGGTATTACTATTTCGAAAATGAAAAATATTAATATACACCGTTTAAAAAAATTTACGATACAAAACTTACAATTCTCAAATAACTTAGTAATTGTGTAAAAGAGTGCAATTTTGATTTAGCTTAAAAAAAAAAATAGGTTAAAAAATATGAAAAAAATTTTTAAATATTGATAATATTTGAACGCACTTTAAATAAGATTTTTTATAATATTAAAAGTAAATTATAATGTAAATAAAATATATAAAAAATATATTTTATTGCATTTTATGCTAAGTATAAATGTAAAAACATTTATTTGGGTTTTTTAAATGTGGCTGGAACGAATAACTGCAAAAACAGCGTATATTACTTGGACTGTTTAAATATAACAGAATTAAATCTGTATTTATCATTCATAGCAACCAATCTTTCTGTTTCGTAGACACCAATTCGCTTAACTTTATTTTTATAAAACCTTTTAAGATCTGTCAGAAGTACTCTTTCTTCATCGTGTTGACACACTATTTCATCTGTAACTCTAGCAAACTTGTCTCGAAAATCAGAAACGTACTGACTTAATTCAAAAAGTTGCTCTTTGAAAGCATCTAAAAAAAATCACGAGTTTTGAAAGTGTTATTAAAAACAACAACCACAATTTAAATAATCTTTGTAAAGATACAATTTTTTTTTTATTAGACAAACAACCTCATTTACCATTCACTCCAACTTTGTTTTTCTTTCTTTGCATAATAAACTCAAATGTAAAAGCACAAACAATAAACAGAATAATCATAATGCCCAAGTAAATTAGTGAACTTTGAAAGGCGGGCGATGTTTCAGAAAAAATATCTGCAATAATTTGGCTTGAATCTTGGACAGCAAGGCTCTAATAATAATAAAAAAGCTATATTATATTTATAAATTAAATATTTATAACTTTAATTATATATAATATATAATTATAACTATAATAAATATTATAAATATATATAACTTTATATAATATTTATAAATAAAACTTCAACTACAAATATAAATGTTTACTGGAATTTCTGGTCTAAATGATGTCGCAAATGCAGAAATTTCGTTACTTTTTGAACCAATGAAACTATCAATATCTATTGTTAAAACCACACTGCTTCCAGACATGACAAAACCGTACCCAGTATTTATATTATCGAGAGATATTATTGTTAAGGATTTTTCATCCAACACAGATTGATAACCCAACAATGATAACGTGTCAACGTACACAATATCAACAACCTTGTTCTGTAAATCTTCAAGCATCGATATAATATTTGTGTAACGCACTATTTAAAAAAATATTCAAATTAAAACGTGTTTAAATTATCATCATTAGAGTATTTTAAAATGTTTTACCTTGAGATACCTCTGCATTGTTTGTAATAGCTAGTTTAAGTTCTAAAGAATTGTTCAATGCAGCAACCTGTGAAAATAACATGTAAAATAAAAATAAAAGAAAGTTGTGTATTTTAAATGCAAGTTCTACAATTGATAATATAAAAAATAATGAAACAAGTTACAAGAGAAAATTAAACAACCATAGCCCATAATTCTTATTTAAATAACCTACATATTGTTCTTTTATTTTCCTGAATATTATTAAGTTAAAATTAAAACCTTAAAGTTAAATAAAATACCTTTGTGTTGTATAACATATAATCCTTGGAAGAACTCAAAGTCGTTAAGTTTGTAACTATGAAAGCAATAATTATGCCGTTTAAAATTAATCCAGTAAGAAACCAAACCATTGCAAACGTTCGTGACAATATTGAGCGTGGACTTAAGTCGCCATATCTAGTTAATTTGAATAAAACTGAAAAATAATTTTAATTGTAAAATTTATTAAAGTTTCATAGATAATAAAATTTGCTGTTATTCAAAGCATTTGTTTCCTTGTGGCTTGAAACTATGACTATTACCAAATACTTTTATTATTTTTAAGTTATTAAAAGAAAAAAAAAACAAAAACATATTTTAAGTAATATTAATTTATGTTGTTTGGATTGTTTATACTGTCGTGTATTTTTGTGTATTGTTTATAATGTCGTGTGTTTTTGTGTATTTTTCATAATCACGTATTTCTACGTTTTTGTGTATTTTTCATATTATCACGTATTTCTACGTTTTGTTTATACTGTTGTATAAACAAAACTTATACTGTTGTAAAAACTTGTATATGCTTTTGCTGAAACTACAGAAAGTATAAGAGTTGCTTTTGATAATGGCAACTTTGCTTGTGGGGTTTTTGTCGATTCACAAAAAGCTTTTGGCACCGTAGACAACAAATTTTCCTCTCAAAGCTTAACTAATATGGTGTACGTGGCATATCCTTGCTGTGGTTCAAATCATACCTTTCTGATTGCCAACAGTTTGTAACTTTAAATGGAACCAGCTCAGATACTAAAAAACTTTCTAATTGGTATACCTCAGGGATCCATATTAGGTCCTCTTTTCTTTATTATCTATATTAATGATTTCAATCTTTCTATCAAACATTCAAAAATATTTTGCTGATGATCCTAATCTTCAATTAATAACAAACTCTCTCAAAAAACTTAATAAACATATTAATCAGGATATGGCCAGTCTTGAACAATGGAGCAAATAAAATCTCATTGAAAACTAAGAAATCAGAAATAATTATATTTAAGACTCGAAATGCTAATTTTTCTAAAAAAAACTAAGAAGAATACTTCAAAATGCTTGAACTTTCGATTAAATGGTCAAAAGCTGTACTTGTCTAAAAACATAACTTATATTGGTGTTGTGTTAGATGAAATTTTTTTATTCAAAACACACATATCCGACCTTACTCTGAAGTAAAGCCGTTCTAACGGCATGTTAGCAAAAGTTCGACTTGACGCATGTCAAGTTTGGGGACAGTTTAAAACCGTATGTCTCTCTAGAATTGTTTTACTTCAAAATAAAGCAATACGGATTATTCATTTTTGTCTAAAAAATTTTCCTACTGACATCCTTTATCTTGCATTCAAAAATTCTTCGTTTCTATGACTTAATTTAGTTCTTAAATTGTTCATTTGTTTGGGATCAACAACATGGTGTACTATATTTCACAACTACTTTAATAATAGAACAACATGTGGGCATCATTCACTTATAACAACTTAACTATCCCATTAAAACAGACAAGTAAACATGGAATTAATTCCATTACATACCAATGTATCCTTTCTTGGAACTCCCTTCCGAACACTCTAAGGTCTCAACCTTAGGTTCAAGAATCTGTTCTTAAAGTCACTCCATCGTTTCTATTTAAAAGGTTACGCTTAACTTTACTCTTTACCTTTTTACTTTTGATCTTTTGACTTATTTTTTTATTTTTATTATAGTTTATTATTTTATTATAACTTTATTTCTAATATTTTATTTCAAATAATTATTTTTATAATAATTTACTTTTATATTTTATTATAACTTTTGTTTAAGTATATGTGCATATATAAATGTAGATTATAATAATTATGTTATATATACTTAAAAAGTTGAATTTCTTGCTAAAATTAAATAAATTTTTCTGCAATTTTACTTTTATTAGTAAATATTATGTTAACTTATTTAACTTAACTTCCTTATTTAACCTAGTTTTTACTTATTACATGTTATTATTATTGTTTGGTTTTACTTATTACATATTATTATTATTGTTATTATTATTCTTTATATTATTTAGGTCATAGCGCTTTATTAGTGAATTACTATTTGCAAAGACCTGTATTTTTGTAAGATCTGTAACACAAAATATATTGCTATTGTTGTTGTTATATAATTTTGCGCATCGTTTGTATTGACGTGTACATTTGTGAATTGTTTATGTTGACATGCATTTTTTTTTTTGGCCTTGTTTTTTATTATTGTTGCTTTTTATGGTTGTTGCTATTATTCAAGTTATTTCTTATTTTTTGCCTCATCATAATATTTAAAAATGTCCTTTTGTTTTATTTTTTTATTTTCTATCAACCTTCTTATCGTCAAACATTGTGTTATCTCATTCATTTGTTACTTCTCATGTCAGTTTATTCACTTTTTCCCTTTTTTGTGTTATTTATCTTGCTTTCTTAATTGTTTTGTTCTTCTTTTTATTTTATTTAATTTTATTTTGGTTGATATCTATATTACCTTTTTTTTTTGCTTTATTTGTTTATTTTAATATGGCATCACTCAAATGACTAGATTTTAACTATACAAGTGACATCGACCTTTTTTTGTAAAATTATAAATAACTTTGTAATTATTTCAATTTTATGGTTAAATTAATGGATATATATATATATATATATATATATATATATATATATATATATATATATATATATGTGTATGTATGTATGTATATATGTATGTATGTATGTATGTATGTATGTATGTATGTATGTATGTATGTATGTATGTATGTATGTATGTATGTATGTATGTATGTATGTATGTGTTCCGAAATCAGGCGTGTTTTCAAAAGACTAGTTTCACTAATGATAAACTGCATAAAACTTTAACAAAAATACTTTTGTAATGCTTTTTAACTAACTCCAATGTGTGTAAAAATAAGCAACCAAACTTAATTTTATCTACTTAAGTTTAATTTTGAAACTAAAATTTTAATTGCGTTACGTACATGACAGTGCATTACATGCATGACATAACAATATTATACGATGGACATTATTGAAATCATTACTTTATATATGCAGTAGGCTATTATAAACATTACATTTAGTTATTTGACAAAGATACCAATTCATTAAAAAAACACTTTTTTTTTTCATACTGTATTATTTGTTGTCAGCAGCCAAAATTCAGGTAAATACCATGACCAGATTTAAATGACTTTTATTTGATGATTTAAAACTATTTTCAAATGACTCAAGCAAACAATGACTTAGATATAAGCAAATTGAAAAAAACATTGAGAATATTAAGTGCAGTAAACTAGTCAACGATATATTGAAAACATGATGACCACCAATTAATTGTTTGCATTAGTGCTCTTCCATAATTTTCTTCACTAAGTGCCATTGCACGTCTAGAAACAGGTAGTAAAGTTTTTTTGATTATTTGATACCAATTATACAATATTTTGTTTTCATGAGTTGGATATTTGAATTTGTATTCCAACAGTCTCGTTAATTTTCTGTTTTACAGTTTTTTTTACTATTCAATCCTTATCTTTGATCAGTCTGTTCTCCTGAATTGTGTTCCGTTGCTGCCATTTGCATGGTTGTTCTCCATCAAACTCTCTTTCCAGTAACTCTTTTTCTTTTAAGTAACATGTTTCACAGGTTCTCGAAAAGCACTCTTTTTGCAAATTATTGCATACTACTTTACACAATTACCAACAGTCATACAACTCAGCAGCAAGATCTTCAGCTAAGCAAGCTTGTTGATAATAAGTTGTCCATTTTCATGCAACTTTCAGAGGCATGTTTCTCTATCACATGCAGTCAGAATTTCCATTCAATGGTTTACAAACACAAAATCTAGCATATGAAACCTTTATGTTTGGGTTTTCGACTTTTTGCGCAGGTCTGAAAGTGTACTTAGCAAAAGTCTTCGTTATTTTTTTTTCACCTTTACTCATGATAGTGTCTCTCTTGCTGTTAGTTATCCTACTATTATCATCTCTTTCATAGAGAGACTTATATCATCATACTAAGAGCAATTTGATCTTGATAATTGGCGTTTACTAATACCAGTGAGATCTTGACATCAATTGACTTTTACAGGCGCCCATTAAAACCTTGGGTCATGTTTCTCATTTTACTGCACTGCGTGTTACTGTATAATGTTTTCTTACTTAACCTTTCTGCTTGCTTTTGATACATATCAGTTTTCTTGGTTCGCTTCATTACCTGTACTTGTTTATCAGTCGAGATGCTTTACTTTGTTCCTTTCTAATGCGTTTTCTGCCTTAGATTCATTGTGGTTTGTAGTTGATGAACTAGGTAATGAAGAAAATTATGTATCTGGTAAAGATTCTATACATAAATTATTTCTTCTACTGCACTGCTGTGCTTCTTGCCATTGTTTCTTTTGACATCGCTGCTCATGTTCTGTCCTTGGCTTTGTAGCTTTTCTTTTTTGCATTTGACACTCTTGTTCCTTTTCCTTATAATATTTGAACTTTGCAGGATCATTTCTTATATTACCTTTGAATTTCGTTTGCCTTTCCTGGTTTGATTTTGTCTTCTTTGCCATAATTGTAAAACAGATTTCAGATAGAAACAAATATAACATCAGTTCTTTAATATCGATGGCTTAGCAGTAAAATAGAACTATTAAATGATGGTTTAAAATAAAAAAAAATATTTATGGTTTAAAATAATAACAATACTTATGGTTTAAAAGATAATTTTTTGATGCATAAATTCTTATTTATCCAACTAATAAACTGTTTTTTTACATAAACGATTGTTTATTTAACATGTTTGTCAAATACGTAATGCTTTTGTCACCTCCATAACGTAATTATGTTACAAACATGACCTTTACGCACTTGACATTTTTACGATGTTTCTGTTCATACATTTCAAATGAATTAATTAATTCAATACAATAATGATTTTTTAAATAAATAACAACATATTGTATCTAAATTATAAATTTCAAAAATATTTACCTTTACATTTACGTGCCTGACAATTCAAAAACATACGCTATGAATCGATTTTATTATAAAATGACAACGAGATAAAATTTGACTTAATTACCACTCATATTTAGATTCCTAATAATTCGCAAATACTTTAAAATGAAATAAAGTATTTTTTTAGGGTAACTACCGAAGTGACTTATTATTTTGTCAGAGAACTGTTATTGTACATGACAGTAAATTGGAGGACTTTTATTCAGCAAACATGCAACCTTATAATAAGATTAAAATATTCCAATCAAACATAATATTGTCAATTCAGAAGTACAGCATTAATTTTAATGACTTTGGCACAGTTAAATGTCAGATTTTATTGAACATTTATGTAAAACATAGCACTATTAACACCAAGTACAGGTAAAATCTGAAACCCCAAGCCACTTTCAACTTCAGAAAACCTTAGAACAGTAAATTAAGAAAGATGAAACTCCTCAAAATAGTTAAAATTTGTATAAGTAGCTGTTTCAGAACATAAGATCATAATTTTTATGATGTAAAATGTTTTAACTATACATTTGATATATATATATATATATATATATATATATATATATATATATATATATATATATATATATATATATATATATATATATATATTGTATAATTATATGGTTATGTTCAATACTTAAAACATACAATAAAAATTTCATATAAAAATCATATAAAAAATATTATTTACATTTTATTTATATACACTTTAAATGAAACTTAAATAAAAAAAATCAGTAATAACAAATACCCAATCGTTGTCATAGTGACAAATGTAAACCAAAACCCTGACAACGGTCCTCGAAGTGAGCTTCCTTTGGAAAACTGCTCTGGATTTGAAAACTGATCCTGAAAAATGAATTTTTATTTACAATTAATTACATATATAGCAATTTAAAAAAAAAAATTTAAATAAAAACTTTTTAAAAATTATAGAAAACTTATTTACAGTAAACCAAATGGCAATGCCAAATATAGAAGCAATTGCATAGCTGATAAGCAGCACAGGCCACACATTTAATACGCCTAACAACATTTTGTTAATAACTTGATTTATTGTGTTTTCATTTCGCACAACCAATGCAATTCCAGGCGACCTAACCAGCACTGAAAACTCACTGTCAGGTGCCACTTCACGTCCATTCATTCCGTAAATAGGAAAACTAAAGTCAACATCCTTGTTTATAGCATTTTTTAAATCAAATTCTGAGCTTTTAATTGTTTCATCTCCAGTTTTAGATTGATTAAAGTAAAGTTTAGAATTAGAGTAACCTTGACATGAACCACAAGATTTAACAACCATCTCTTGCAACAACTTTAAAAAAAATCCGCTTGGATTCAAATCAGCATCAGCTGAAGTAAATGGTTTTTTAATGTACAAGTTTGCAAAAAGTAATTCAGGGCATTTGCATGTTCCTAAGCAACATATATAGCTTTATATAAACAAATATAACTATAAAAATAAATAAATAATAAAGACAAAAAATGACGATAATTATATCATAAAAATAATGATTGTAAATTTGACAGTAAAAAGCACTAACTTGCTTGATATACAGGTGCAGGGCCACTTCCAGCAGCAGTAAAACCTGCAACACTCACACTGTAAATTGCATAATTAAGAAGGTCTCTTTGTTTGTAATAACGAGTGTATATGTCAAAATTTAAAACAGTTTTTATTTTTTCTCCACTTATTTCTACTCCTGATTGATAGCTTAAATAATATATAAGTCGATATCCAAGTAGAACTCCATTGACATACTCTGTTGGTATAGGTTTCCAAGATACAGACCACCAACTCGTTGATTGCATATCATTTACAACAAAATTTGGAACTGGAATAGAAGGTACTGGAAAAAAAACAATACATAGTTTCAGTTAATTTAAGTTATTATACATGAAAAAATTTAATGACAAATGGTGCCCAAAGATGTGGTTATATTCTAAATATTCAAGTAAAAAAAAATTAATTAACATTATCTCAAAACACAAACCTCCTTCAATTGTTTTACACATAGAGTATTGAACAGGACCATCACCATTTGCATTATATCCATAAACTTCAACAAGGTAAAATGTATATGGCTTCAAATTTTTTATTGTGAAAGCATTAAAACCAAATTGAGCTTCAACTACTTGGTATGCTTCTTTTTTTGTGTAAATCTTGTATCTTATTCTATAACCAAGTATTTTACCATTACTATATTTCACTGGAACATCTGTCCACTCAATATAAATTTCTGTTGGATCTGTAGAATATGAATTTGCATAAGGAGGTGGTCTCTCTGGTGCTAAATATATATTATATATATATTTGATCATTAAGTGATATATATATTTGATCATTAAATATTTTAAATCATTTCTTAGTTGTCATTAAGTTTTTCAACAAAAAATTGTCAAAAATAAAATTTTAAAAATACTTTTTTTAATTAAAAAAACTGCCTCAAATAAATCTCAAGCAATATATTCTACTATTTAACATTAACAATTTTATACATGCATTTACGTATGCACATATAAAATTAATATATACCATACATACCTAGTTAAAGAAAGACAACCTAAGGAACTCTTTATTTATACTAAACAAATAATTTTATTTTATATAATACTATATAAAAAAAAGAAAATTATACTAAAAACATTACACTAGTTTTAAAGCAGTAATTATATTTATAGTGTCTGAATTTTTTAAGAACGTAGCATTTGTTTTTATTAAAAAATTGTGATTAATGTAAAATATGTATGCAAATTGCTAACAAGTGCAAAAAAATATAAGATACTTTTTTTGCCTTTGCTATCTCTCACATTATCTAGCTGCTTTTTTTATTTATTTTAATTTACCTCCGGAAGACCATAAAGGTCACTACGGTCCAAGAAGCTACTTTTAGTTGTGGTTACAACCTTTTCTCAACTCTATAACTCCAAAACACAAACCTTGTTGAACAAGGCTGCTGCCTAGAGAAGCACGGTACTACTCGGGACTCTGCCTAGAGTTGAGCATGGTATTACCAGGGACATGGTGGGTATCAAACTCGGAACTTCTAGCTTATGAGGTAAACACTCCACCATAACACCACTATTGCATTTTTTACACAGTTACATAGGTAAATTGCTATCTCTTTGATGTATGATGTTGGTAAAAACAACAAACAACACAGTTGTCTAATAAATTATACACTCTTGCTGTTTCACAGACATGATTTTGACATTGTACTAATTCAAACATCATTCATAATTTTTAAAATCTTAAAAATACTTACGAAAGATTAAAAATATTTAAAAAATACTTACGAAAAGGTGATGTTTCAAAATAAAAAACTGCACTTGGCAAACCATTTCCAATACTCAAAGCAGTAAGCATGTATGCTTTATATTTATGAGATGTTATGAGATCTGGCACAAACCCTAAAGTTTTATTTGAATCTAAACCTCTCCATTCCCATGTTGAGTTTGCAGAAGTAATGTCTTTGTAATAAACATACAACCATGCGTCTGTTTTGTTAATACAAGTATCTCGCAACCATGATAACATCACAGTGTTTTTATTATAAGATGAAACTGATATGTTGTAGGGAGGAGGGCATGACACTAAAGATATTAAAAAGTTTTATTTAAATTATCAAATAAAAACATGCAATTTATGAGCAATTTAAAAAAACACTTTTAGGTTGGCAGTTAGGTCAGCATTGCCGAATGCTGACCTAATTTCCGAGGGTTGAAATATACATATAAATTATATTAGTGTATTTTACAAATAGAGTGCTAAATGCTCTTAAAGAGCAGAGAAATAATATATTAGTAAAATAAATTAGTAATATATATATATATATATATATATATATACATATATATATATGTATATATATATATATGTATATATATATATATATATATATATATATATATATATATATATATATATATATATATATATATATATATATATATATATATATATGTATGCATATACGCATATATATTTATATATATAAATTTTTAATATATAACCGTTTATTGAATTAAATATTAATTTGAGTTTACAAAAAAATAATAATAGTTGAAAAAATCTATTGATGAGGGAATGAATGTTTTGAGTTAACAAAAGGAGTAGAGTTAGCACTAAGTTTATTTGCATCATTACATAGATAGCAAAATTTTTTTTGTAGATATGTGTTTAAATACATTGTTGATTTTTTTTGGATTTGGTGTTAAATTTAAAAGTGGAACGTAAATTGTTCAAATACAGAGTAATGATCATTCTTATGCAGACAAAGTGTGATTAGATAGTTATGTTTATTTATTATTTTTTTGAGTGTGATATGACATATAGCATCAAGATAATCATCAATCGGTCGGAAACCATGGTATGTAAACCTAGTAACCTTGTATCTTGGATTTTGTTTTATTAGACATGTAGGTGAGGACAAGTGTAAGTAAGTTGTTAAGGCAATATTTAAGCAGATTTAAGAAGCAGATTTAAGAATATACAGATACCATCAACCAAATATTTAGAGTTACTTTAACAGATATTTGATTGAAGAAATTTTATTATATAGTCCACTATTTCTTAAATTTGAAGCTTAAGTTAAGGGTTATTCCAAGGTATTTGTGCGAGTTTACAGCTCAAAGAACTTCATCTTTTAATGTTATGACTAGTTCATAAAAACCTCACCAATATAGATAACTTTGTATTTGGCTATGTTAAGGAACACTTTATAATTATTGCACCAATGTTTAAGTCTATTTGCTACTTTTTGAGAAAGAGAAGAGTTTTTACCGAGTATGTAAGCAAAGACATTATCTGTAAATTTCTTGTATAATGCTTGTTGGGAGAGTCATTTATGTCTAGTGCATAGATTAAAAAGAAAATTAGGGCAAGGATACTTCCTTGTATCACTCCTGATAACACATATTTCCATTTAGTAGTCTAGTTGTTGAATATGACTTGTTGTTTACGGTTCAAAGGCCACTTTTCAATTTAGGGTAATAACCATGATGGTAGATTGATATCAATTTTGTGCATGAGAATAATGTGGTTGACAAGATCAAATGCTTTTAGAAAATCTAAGAATATTATCATTAGTAAGGTGTTGCAGTCAATAGCATATCCCCAGTCATCTATTATTTGTACTTATTCCAGGAAGAAAACCAAATTGACTATTTAATAATAATTTATCTTATGCATAGAATAAATTATGTTATGTAAGGATATATTTAACTAAACTGCATGTTGTGGATGTTATAGGAATTGGTCGGTAGTCAGTTAGTAGTGATGGGTTATCAACTTATGGACCGGGTATAATGTTTTCATAAAGCTACTCAGATGGTACAATAGATTTTTTGACACAATGTTTAAAAAGTGTGACAAAGGCTTCGACTAGTTCGTGCAGCATTGAGTAATTAGATAGATTTATACCATAGAATTTAAAGATTTAAATTAGATTAAAGCCAGATAAGTTTAATAACTGTCATTGTGATGTGTTTTAGCTGTTTACTGACATTGAAGAAGTTGAAGGTAGAATTTCTGGTGGAGAGGTAATTGGCTTACAATAAGGTGATAAATCTAGCATAATAATTTCTTGCTAAACTATATCTAAAAATAGCACATTTAGTATCACACTAAATTCAGTATCTGCAGGTAAGCTGTGGGTTTGGATTCATTAATGGGTGTGTATGTGATTCATTAATGGGTGTGTATGGGTGGTATGATTTGGATTCATTAATTGGTGTGTATGTGATACTATTATTACTGAGGAGTGAAAATAAGAAATTAAATACGAGCGGTCATTTCACAACTAACACAGGGAGTTAGTGATCATATGTTTTTTTTGGACAGCCAAAATTTTATCATGGTAATAGTTCTTCATTACTAATACAAAACAATACAAAAACAACTTATTGCTTGAAAATTAACGAACTCGTACTCTGCTTTTAAATTACAAATTTTAAATAAAATCAAGTAATTTAATGTTAAATTTTTTTTTAATATCTAAACAGTTTTTAAAAAATATTAAAAAAATTAAACTGGATATTTAAAAAATTAAACTGAAATTTAATTGAAATGTCACTTAACAATTACAATACAAAAAAAAAAAAAAAATACAAACACGCAATTAATATTTTTAAATCAATTTAAAAATTATTCATTTGTTGGAATAGCTTTGCAAATGGCGATAAAAGTTTTAGATGCAACTGAGCTATCCCAGTTTTAAAGTTAACAACTTTAAAGCTAGGATAGCTCAGTTGGTTAAAGTGCATCTAAAAGTTCGAAATAATTATTGGCTGTAGCAGCAGAATTGTAGGTTCAAATCCTTTTTTTTTTTTTTTTTTTTTTATAGTTGTAAACTATATAAATATAAGTGTCTCTATATAATGGATTGTAAATTAAGGTTTTATTTTTAAATAAAACTCTAGATAAAGCAAATGTCACTTATATATAAAATTCTTTTTAGTTTAAAATACTTTCTTCATCCAATTGTAATTTCAAAAATATTTGTGATAGACGGTCACACAATAGCTAAAACAATCTTTCATAAATAATTTAAAATTTAATTCATTAAATTTACACTTTAAACACATGTGCCCATGTCTTTATAATAACTTACCATCATTTGAAGAGTAGTACTGCTTACTATCTATACTAATGTTGCTTATTTTTCCTGCTTGATTGATTCCATCAATGAAATGAATCATTTGATCGTACAAATAATCAAATGTTAGTGTATAATATACAATAACACTTCCAGCTCTGCATAAAAAATTAAAAAAAAAGTTCAAGTCAGTAAAATTGCTTTTGCACATTCTTAGCAAAACATATTTATTATAAATTATACTATCATTTAGCAAACATAAAAAAAAAACTTACTTTAGATGGGTTACCTCAACGCTATTTAAACCATTTATACCATTGTTATTAAAGTGCTCAAAAATCTAAAACATTTTTATAACAATGTTTACTACACTTAGTTAGAAGAAAAAATATAGTTATGTTTAAAAACAAAGCCTAAAATGTATAAATATGGCAAATGTGATTAACACACTGCCATTCCTGAAAATAAACTTTATTCATGATTTTTAGTTTAAGCTATAAAAATTTACTACTTCATCCTATAATTTATACCATGGGTTTGCAGCTTAATTGAGGAAATAACTTTGTCATTTTATTAAAGAAATAATTTTTGCCAAGACTCAAGTATAAGATATAAGACTAGATATAAGTGTTTTTAAAGAAAGTTGCTATCTTCTAATACCAAATTCACCAATATTTTCTCTAATTTAACAACTAATTATTTCAGGAAACTCAACAATTTCTGTTTATGATCACTTATCTTAATTTTCTATTTGTCCAACTTTAATAAACTATTTTCATCGGCAAACACAATTTATAACCCAGGAATTTTAAAAACTTCAATATAGAAAACTTCAAATCTGACATCAAAAATTGACTGGAATAATGTTATAAAGTCATCATGTTTCCAAAACTCATGTTTCCAATTTTACTGAAACAGCATTGGTTTTAGATTATAATGCCCTACTTGAAAAAATTAGTATCAAGAACTTCAAATGTCAACTTAAACAATGTGTTTCAAAAAGAATCAAAAAATATATTCAAGTATGCAATCTTTACAAAAAAAAATGTTAAAATTTAAAGTTAGAAACTATCACATTAACAAGTTACTTTCGACTCAGTACTAATTGAATAGAATAATAATCAGAAATTAAATTTTAAGTTCTTTAAAAAACTTAATATTCCTGCCTTTCCAGTTTTAGTAAAGTTTGCTGAACTTTTGAAACTGAAAGCTAAATGTACCATCATATAGAACTCAGAAGTATGGTAAGAATTCCAGTATCCGTCAGTGCATCTGTGAATGGAACAGGTATGGTTTTTATATAAGTTCAAAAAGTTGAAAATACCTATATCATCTTTTCTTCATCTTTATCAAAAATCAATTTACTATTTAAGAACTTTAAAAAATATTTTATTCTAACTTTTTGACATTATTATCTCTTATTATTAAAATATACTCTTAATTTTCTGATCATTATTACAACAAATATTACCATTACTTTTTTGTTTGTTTAACTGCAAGTTATGATTTCCACATGTTTATTTTTTTTTGTATATTTCTTTTTTTTTTTGTATGAGTATAAAGTTTGCTTTAAAAATTGTTTTATTCCTTTTTGTAAATAATTTTCTTTATGTTTGTTAATAAACTTTGTTGATAAGATATATATTATATTTCTGATTTATATTTTGTAAATAAATTTTATTGAAAAGATCTTTACTGTGTTACACATTTATACTTAATTTGTAAATAAATTTGTTGAAAAAATATGTTTTATTCTTTTTTGTAAACAACTTATATTTTGTTAATTGTAAATAAATTTTGTGGAAAATATATATATTGTTCTGTTTTTTAATAATTTATGCTTTTTTAAATGTAAATAAATATTGTAGAAAAGATATATTTTGTTCTCTTTGTTAACAATTTATGCTTTTTTAACTGGAAAAAATTTTGTAGAAAATATATATTTTGTTCCATTTCTTAACAATTTATGCTTTTTTAATTGAAAATAAACTTTTTTTTTGTGCTTTCTTTTTACTAATAGCTTATCCTGGTTTAAATATTTATATTTTTTAAAATTAAAATTTACTAATAAAGTTTTTTGAATATCTTTGAAATGCAAGATTTATGTAAAAACTTATTTAGACTGTTTCAAAAGTTTTTATAACTTTTATATAAATTACTTAAGTATATAAAGTAAAAACCAAAAAAAAAAAAAAAATTAATTTATTGTCATACAGTTTTTTAAGTATTTTTAAACAATTGTTTCTTTGACAAAAATTATGCTGGTAGATGTTTTAAATAATTGTTTCTTTGACAAAAATTATGCTGGCAGATGTTTTAAATATGTTTAATTTAAAATAATTGTTTTGATAAAAGTATATGTGTTATAACTTAAGTTTGATAAAATTTCATTCAATTTTTAAGTTTTTTTTTCTTCTAAAAAATGTTTTCTTTATATTATTATTTTTATGTTTTTTTATTTCTATAAATTTCTATATTAACTTACTGTATTGCATTATTGACCTATATTTATTTCTTTAGATATATATATCTAAAAAATACAAAGCATACAAAAATATTGAAGCAAATCTTGCTTTAGCCGCATTTCAAAATGCGTTTAATAATTTAAAAAAAAATCTCAAAATCCGCTTAATGATTTTTAAAACTTCTTGATGAGGCATTTACTAATTAGTTAGTAGTTGTCTTCTAATTTTTTCAATGTGTATGTGTTTTATGGATGCGACATTATCTATAAAAATTTTTGAAAATCAATTACTAATAACAATTTGTTGATAACAATTACTACTACTACTACTACTACTACTACTACTACTACTACTACTACTACTACTACTACTACTACTACTACTACTACTACTACTACTACTACTACTACTACTACTACTACTACTAATAATAATAATAATAATAATATAATAAGGTAATGGTAAGGTTGTATAAATTAAGTCCAACAAGTCCAGTATTTTTTCTTAGAGAATTACTTTTGCATGTTAAAGATGACTTTTAAGGATTTCCATACTGTTGATAATATAGTTTTTAATAAATTTCATGAAGTTTTCAATTAGGTCTATGGTAATGAAGTTTATAATGAAACTTGGATGATTAAAAAATTAGAAATTTCTGTTATTTTGACTTTTTGGGAATATGATGATCCTCTTTATATCATTTCACTTTTTTCAAGATTTCATGATAGAAAACTACATTAACTGTTTGATAAGTAATCATGCTTTAAATTTTTAACAACTTTAAATAGCCATAACACCATTAATATTATTAATACTTTTTTAAAATATAAAATGTTTTAAAAATGATCACTTAAGACTTGTAGAATATAGATTTTATTGATTTAGATAGATGCTGCACAAGAATTAGATCTTCTTAAAACAATACTCTATCCTTCTTAAAACTACTCTATCTTCTATTCTTACTCTATCCTTCTCTTAAGCTGTTCAAGACTCTTTGCTTGCATACAACTTTTAACTAATCCTTTAATAATTGACCAAAAATCCTTAATTGTATTCTGAAACTTTGGTAGGATTTTTTTTTTTTGGCACAAAAATTATATTTACTTCTTAAGAAAAAATTTTCAATTTTACAAGAAAAAACTACTTGGAATAAAAGTTTTGGTTTGTATTTTACACGAAACCTTCTTTTGAATTAATATCAAACATCTTACATACCCATATTTTAAGTCTCCAGTGTTCTCTGTTTGAAATCCACTTGAACAGCTTTTGGTTATAAATTAATTTAATATTTTAATTTGAAATTTATATTAAATTTAAGTTTCTTACTTAATAGTTAATTAAATAACTAATAAACAAGGTTTATTATTTACTTATTAATTAACAGTTTATTAATTAATAGTTAATTAAATAAAAATAAACAATATATTTAAAATTGGGTAGTGTTGTAGCCAAACAGATCTATTTTTTTCATTATGCAGCTGTCATGTTGATCAAGATTCATGTAATAGAGTTATAGGGTTTATAAAGAGCTACATGAACATTATCATTTTTTAATTTTTTGTCGAAAATTGATAACTTTTATGTAGTAAAATTTAGGATAATTCTTGTATAAAATTTTTAATATTTTTGAAATTTTGATAAAATTTTGCCTCTTTTGAGACCCAACATGACATACATTTGAAAAACTTTTTTTTTCCTGTTTAAGGTCTTGTTGCAAGTTTTAGACTTGAAGTAGCCCCCCTAAATCTCGTTTAATTTAAAAAAAATTTGACAGAGTTGCAGAGTTGAACCAATAGAAAGTTTTAAGAATAGGGACAGATCAATTTATGAAAGTATGGGGCATTGGATGCACCCTAATAAACATCGATTCCATTTTTTTTTAAATTGTTTTTTGTAACAGAAGCTGTAAGGTTGATATACATTAGTTGTTCAACAACAACTATTGCATTAACTCAACAACTGCACAAACCACAACAGTTTTCGCAAAAGGTAGGGTTTTCAATCAGTTTTAACCAATAACCGAAAACTGCTGTTGGTCTAAACCGACATAAATGAAAACCTTCAGTTTTCAAAAACGGTTTCGGCGGTTTTTTTGTATAATGTCTTTTGAATGTTTATTTATTATAGAAATGTATAAAAAAAATCAAATTTGTAAGTAATAAAAAATTTAATTTTATTATTCAGTTAGTAACTTTCAGGAAAACTTAAGGTCTTTTTATTTTCAAAATTATTCAAGTATTCCAAAAAAAAAGTTCAAATATTGAATAAAACTTGCAAATATATTTAAATACTCTATATTATATTATATTATAAAAAAAGTATACAAATACTCAAATAAAATGGCCTATTCTTTATATTAAGGATTTTTATTCCTTAAAAAAAACACGGATATTTTTAGTGTTTATTTTGGTTTAACAAAACCAAATAAACTTTAAATAAACTTTATGAAAATTAACATATAGGTATATAATAAAAATAATTCACGATAATGTTTCTATCAATTATTTAATTTTTTGAAAACATGTTTGATGAAACTATATTATGAAAATATACCTTCCAGATAAATCATGTCATCAGTTTGGAAATTTGCTGTCCTGCACAAAATTCCAAAATAAGGAGATGTTGAAGGCATCTGTAATAGATGCGGATCTTTTGTCATGTTCCAAACATGTTTTGTTGGATCCACAACTACTTTGCTAAATCATATTTTGTACCATGGAAATAGTATCAACAGCCCTTTAAATGGAATTTAATCCATCAAGATTTTTCTGATAAAAAGGAAGTGATGAAACAAGAAATTATCGAAAAAATTCAAATGGGACAAAAATTCAGCTTAACGCATGATGAATACACATCTTTGAGACACAAAAAGTACATTGATATCAACCTGCATGAAAGCGAATGTAATAAAACCTAATAAAGCAAATGTAAGAAAATCTATAAAACTGGCCTCATTAGAATTTATGGTTCCTATTCAGCTGAAAATTTAATACAAAGTATTAAGGATCATTTGAATTCATTTGGTGTCTTTAAGGAAAGAGATGTAGTAGGTTCTACTCAAGATAGTGCATCAATCAACAAGAAGCTTTCATTGCAATTAATGAAATTGTTGCAATTAATGAATATTGCATTTTATTGCAATTAATGAACATTATTGATTAATTTTGCTATTCATGGAATTCTTTTGGTGTATGCGACACGTTATACAAGAAACGAACCAGTTCCCAAGGAAACAGACAGTGACACAGAAGAGGATGAACATGGAATTAGTAATGATCAATTTAGTTTTAAATCAGTTAACAATGAGATTAATGTTGACTACCCTGAGATTTTGATGAATGCACAAAAAGTAGTGAAATTCATAAAAATGTCATCAGTTCGAAATCAAACTTTTCAGAAGAAAGTTACTGAAGAATTTGGTAGAAAATCAAACTGCATCTAAATGTTCATCATCTTTGGAATTCACTTTTTTCAATGACTTTGCCTTTGTTAAAAACTAAAAAATATTTATTCTAGACATTTACTGAATTAAATGCCCTTGATGTAATCAACAAACTAGATTTTGAGTCATTAACTTCATTACATGTTGCTTTAGAGCCAGCAAAACTAGCAGTGGAATTCCTTAGCAAACAAGATTATTGACAGCAGATACTGTTCTTAAATTCATGCTTGCAAAACTATTTGCTATGAATACAGAGATCGCATCTTTATTGCATTCAAATTTAAAAAAGCGCGTCGATGAAAGAACTAACGGAAATGTTACGCAGTTGTTAAGGTGCCTAAAAGATTTTTTAGTTGTTACATTAAAAAATACTTTAAATTTTATTGGAAAACTTGCGTTTATGCTTTTGAATTTACTTCTAATGATAAGGAACCACTACTAGCTAAAGCACCATGATCGACATCGAAAAGTTCACCTGCTTCTTTTAATGATGAAATAAACGCACTTCTCAATAAAAATAGCATTAGACACTTGCCAAAATCTACTGTTCAATTCAAATGGCTTAAGCAAGCGCTTTTGTTGTACCAAAACACAGGTAAAAGAACTAAAAATCTTGAAAAATTTACTCTCTATAAAGCCCACCTCAACAGATGTCAAATGCATTTTTTTAAACTGCATTAGTTTCTGCACAAAAATCAGTTTACAATTATCTGATGAATTGTTAAAATTTTTAATTTTCTGAATTTTTTTTTACAATAAAAATAAGTCATTTTATGTTTTATTTCAAAATATAAGCATAATGTTAGAACATTTTGTTTAAATAACTTTTTAAACAAATAATGCAAGATAAACTTACATAAGTTTTACTATTTTACAAGAAAAACCAAAAACCACAGTGTTTTTTTTTAACTAAAACCAAAACCACAGTTTTTTATAATTGCAGTTTTTTGGAAACCAAAATGGTTAGCATATTAAACCGGAAGCACTTAAAAAATAAAACATGTTAAAAAATAAACCAGGTTAGGCACGATGGAGGGAGTGTTTTAGTTTGGCTGTGTATGAGTGCTGTGGGTATGAGGAACTTGATTTTTCTCAATCCAATTTTAGGGATCAGCATGTCTAATCAAAGGTAAACAATAAAACAACAATCTATTGAAGATTTAATTTAAATTTTTAAATTTTCATATATTTTCAACAAAATTTACCGCAACATTTCCAATACTTCCAGTTTTTATATGTGATGTCTTTTTTTCTTTTATTTTTACATGTTATAACAAATTACCATTTTTAGATTAGTTGGATAATGTATTTGTGTAATTTTTTGGATTAATTGGATACTTGTGTGATATAGATAAACAAAATTGACAAACGTTATATTTAATTTTTTTTGCGTGTCAATTAGTAAATAAATGTGTTCATAAATTTATTTTGTATATTTTGTCAACAAAAATATATATTTATATAAGTAAACTTTTTTTTTAAAATAATAAACACCCCTTCTATTTATGAACTCCTCTTCTATTTATTATTAAAAGTTTACAACAAGATTTTGTGAAGTATTGAACATTAACCAAGCAAAGAGGTAGCAATAAGGTGATCTTTTTATGATTGCCTTTATTTTCAGGTAATCATAAAAACTTAAAACACTACTTACTATATGATAGTATTCACCGTCATTAAACTATCAAACCTAAGAAACTTAAAACTAAAGTTTAAAACACTGAAATTAAAAAAAATCTTACAGATTCTTCAAACCGCTGAGCAAATGCACGCCCTTCTTTCGAATTAACATTATACATCTTCCATACCCAAGTCTCCAGTGTTCTCTGTGTCAAATCCACTTGAACAGCTTTTGATTATAAATAAAATTTAATACTTCAATTTAAAATTTAAAATAAATTTAAGTTTCTTAGGGGTCGTCCATAAAGAAAGTACGCCAAAAATTTTGAAATTTGACCTTCCCCCTCCCCCTGTTGCCATGCATACTTTTAAATTCCACCTCCTCCATTTTTTTTTTTTTCAATAAAAAGGTATATTGAAAAAAAAAAGGTACCTTAGATACTTTTTACAACCCCAAAACCCATTACATTATGTGTACTTGGCCGAGATGTTAATGTTATGAAATTCAACCGTAGAGACCACAGAGACCGGAATTTGATTCCCTGCCAGTCATATTGTACTATTTTTGTTTTAATGACGAATCAAATAAAAATAAACTATACTTAAGGTGGACATTTTTTCAGGCACCTCTCTTTAGTGAGTCCGTATAAAATGAGTCTTATGCAAGATCAGTAATATTGAAAACAAAGCCTAAAACCCAGTGCTGAGGGTAGGCTACCAATCTCCTTAGGGAGAAAGGGGGCGAGGGAAAAGTTTTAGGACTTTTGTGTTCCCAGGCTTCTGTTATCCCAATTTTTTGCAAGGTCTCTTTATTTGGTATAGGTATATATATAATTAAGTTTAGTGTTTGCACAATGTGTGAAAGTGGGTACCCATGCCTGTGTGTGCATAGAGGAGAACTATACTCTCTACTCCCTTTACCATACATCTTTTTATGTTGGCAAACTAAGATCTTTAGTCAGACTGCTGTGGCGCAGTGGTAGCGCACAAAGAATCTGTGGTTCAAACCCCACCTCTGGTCAAGTTTTTCAAAATTGGTTAGTTTTTTTTTTTTTAAACTTTTCTATTAATTAGGTGGTTAGTTATGATAAATTAAATTGAAAAAAATTGAAGCACATACTTTTAAAATGAACCCCCCCCCCATACTCTTTTGTACACTTTTTGAAGACCTCCCCCCTCCCCTACTTTATGGACAATTCCTTACTTAATAGTTAACTAAATAAGTAATAAACAATATTTGTTATTTATCTATTAATTAACAATTTATTACTTAATAGTTAATTAAATTAGAAATAAACAATATATTTAAAACTGGGTAGTGTTGTAGTCTAATAGATCTCACTTAACTGAGATCTATTTTTTTTATTTTGCAGCTGTCAAGACTTGAGTATTAGAGTTATAGGATTTATAAAGGGTTAAAAAATTATAAAATAAGTAACATTTCTAAAATGCACCAATTCCTTGAAGAGGTAAATGCATTAAATATAGAACTTAATTTAGTTAAAATTATAAATTTTATTTTTATATGCGAAATTTATGTACATACGTGTACAGTTTTGAAGGTAACATGGCATTATCATTACATCACTGCCATTGCAATCTTTACCCCTCAATGCAGGTACAGGATTGTTGCAGTAACGTCTACTTATGCTTACTCCTTCTCCACATGGTCTACTGCATATTGACCAATCAGTCCAGTTTGAGTAACCTCCATCAACTAGACCAAAAAAAAATAAAAATTATTGCACTTTTACTGTATTACTTATATATATATATATATATATATAAATATATATATATATATATATATATATATATATATATATATATATATATATATATATATATATATATATATATATATATGTACTATATATATATATATATATATATATATATATATATATATATATATATATATATATATATATATGTATATATATATATGTATATATATATATATGTATATATATATATATGTATATATATATATATGTATATATATATTTATATACATATATGTATATATACATATATGTATAGGGGAGAACTTGCACCCTTGATCCGTAAGCATCTTTGATCCTATAGCGTTATCTCCATACTTACATAACTTATTAAAGAGGGCTGATAGCCAGCATGTTATAAATTTTTATCTTCAAAATTAATTGTGTTTTGGTTAAAGAATAGACCACTATTAAATTTATTTCTAAATAGTTTGATTTTGACGAAAAAAAGTATTTTTTTTACTTTAACAAGGAACCTCACATCTTTAATATTTTTTTTAAGTTGAATAATTTTGCTTATGTCATTTTGTAACTTATTCACCTCTTGTATGGTTGCTTTTGGTAAGCTATAGAAACATCTAATATGACCAAAAAAGAATTTTTGTAAAAATGGAGTGGGTTAGCACCCTTGATCCTAATGTGTTTATGCACCTTAGATCCTATGATTAAAGGTGCATACACACACACAAAAAATGTTTAACTTTTAAAGTAACATGTACAATACGTCATATTTTTTTTTAATTATATTTTTTTCTTCTAGAATAAAGCCTTAAAATGAAGATTTTATACTATTTTGTATTTTTTTGTTCTCCTAAAACTTTTATATAATATAATTATATATATATATATATATATAATATATATATATATATATATATATATATATATATATATATATATATATATATATATATATTTATATATATATATATATATATATATATATATATTTATATATATATATATATATATATATATATATATATATATATATATATATATATATTTATATATATATATATATATATTTATATATATATATATATATATATATATATATATATATATATATATATATATATATATATATATATATATATATATATATATATCTGTGTGTGTTTGTTAATAAAGAAGATTTTAGTAAGTAAAAATCTTTATAAATGTTTATCCAAAAATTAGGAATATAGCAAAACTATATAAATATGTTTCATTTTTTTACAGTTAAATATAGTGTATCATAAAAAACGAAAAACCAATAGACTACCTAGAGGTAAAGTTAATGAGAATGAAATGCCAGCAGCTGTTAATGCGGTTCTTAATAGTAGTACAGTTTATCGTGTATCTAAAGAGAGGGGAATCAATTTAATGACACTTAAGAGATATGTAAGGAAATGTCAATTAAATCCATATACAGTCTGCAAACCTAACTTCATTACCATGCAAATCTTTACCAACGAAGAAGAAACATCTTTATCAGATTATCTTTTAAGGGCCTCAAAACTTCACTATGGATTATCAACCAAAACAAATCGAAAACTTGCCTATGAATTTGCAATGACTCTTTCTAAGCGCATTCCTAAATCGTGGAAAAGTTTACAAATTGCTGGGAAACAGTGGCTTCCTGGTTTTATGTTACGTAGAAATGAGTTATCTTTAAGAAATCCAGAAGCTACTAGTATGGCACGAGCAACTGCTTTTAATTGTTATACAGTCGGATAATTTTTTACTAATCTAAAAGATGTTTGTCTACGACACAAGTTTCAGCCACAAAACATATATAACGTTGATGAGACAGGTCTCACAACTGTTCAAAAACCAGTTAAAGTAATTGCTAAAAAAGGAGATAAAAAAGTTGGAAGGATAACTTCAGCAGAAAGAGGGACATTGGTAACAGTTTGTTGTGCAGTCAATGCAATAGGAAACTCAATCCCTCCATTTTTTATTTTCCCAAGAGTTCATTTCAAAGGAAGTATGATAAATGGTGGTCCGCCTGGATGTGTTGGGGTTGCAAACCCATCTGGTTGGATGAATGTTGCAACGTTTTTAGAGTGGATGAAACATTTTATTCAAAATGTGAAATGTTCACCAGCTAATCCAGTGCTTTTACTTCTTGACAACCACGAGAGCCATGTTTCAATTGTGTGTTTAGATTTAGCTAAAAAAAATGGCATAACTATGCTGTCTTTTCCACTACATTGTAGTCACAAGTTGCAGCCATTAGATCGGTCAGTTTATGGGCCAATGAAATGTTATTACAATGCAGCCTGTGATGATTGGATTGTATCTAATCCATGACCAATGACCATATATGATATAGCTTCAGTTGTAAGGAAAGCCTATGCACAAGCTTTTACTTTGTCTAACATTTCTG